GAAGAGAAGACTCCCTGGAAAAGACCCTGATGTTCGGAAAGTGTGAAGGCAAGAGGAGAAGGGGACGACAGAGAACGAGATGGCTGGACAGTGTCATCAAAGCGACCAGCATGAATTTGGCCCAACTCCGGGAGGCAGTGGAAGACAGGAGGGCCTGGCATGCTCTGCTCCATGGGGTCACGAAGAGTCAGACATGACTTAACGACTAAACAAAAACAACAATGACGCTGTTCTCCCTGTTCCTGACAACAGCCCTATAAAGTACATCAAGCTGAGAGTATGAGTAACCCAGGGTCACCCAAGAAAACCTCCTGGCCCAAATGGGGATTTGAATCTAGGTCTTCCACATTCTAGCTGAACCACATGCAAAACACAAAGCAGCCGTCTTCTCTAGGTGGAGAAAAAAGTCTGGGTTGGATGACACCTCTGCCAGCTCAGGGAAAGCTTGCTTGTTTTAAACTTTACTTATTTGAACATTGTGAGCTGCCTCAATCCACTCCTCAGGAGAAAGGCGGCCTCCAGATGAGGCGAAATAAATCACTGCAAAAAAGGGGTGGAGATATTATAAAAACTGGAGAAATGAGGAACAAGCACAAGTAGTCCCAACGTTAAAAAAAAATAAAAGCGGCCAACTCTTAGTCTTTATTCTGGAAAGCAGCCTGCCCAAGAAGGAGAAAGACTGCAGATCTAAAGAAAAGTGCCAAGGGGTCAGTTTACAATCTTTTCCCTCCTTGTAGCTTGTTTGTGACCCTTGTAAATGACTTCACTGCCTGGGCCAGTGTCTTCTGTTTGGCTTATGGAAGCAACACGGTAGGCTTTGTGTGAGCCCAACAAGAAGTGGAATTCAATTGTCCGAATAGGTTCGAACAGCAATGTCAAGCCATTTTGGTCCTCCTACCTCATGGCAGGATGAGACCGGAGTTCTCGCATGTGCACCATCTCCTTGGAAAACGATACCACTCCAGGATATAGAGCAATGCCATTTAATAACACAATTCTGTAGGTAGAGCTACAGCATGAACGGCTACCCTGTTTCCCCGAAAATAAGACCTAACTTGAAAATAAGACCTAGTATAATTTTTCAGGATGCTCGTCATATAAGCCCTGCCCCCAAAATAAGTCCTAGTTCAGTGAAATCCTGCCCTCCACCCTTGTACAGCAACCGGAAGAAGATGACATGACTGTGTTTGAATAAACGTAGATGGTTGTACATGAAAAAAATAAAGCATCCTTTGAAAATAAGCCATAATGCGTTTTTGAAGTAAAATTTAATATAAGACCCTGTGGGGAAACACAGTAGATACCCTAAGTTACCCTAAGTGGGTTAGTGCAGCCTTCCTGGCGCCATCATCCCATCCAGGCTGGGGATTATAAGAGATCTGATCCAAGAACATCTGGATCCCAACGCAAGAAACCTCTGGTTTTGTGCTTTACCACTAATGGTAAGCGATTATTGTCACCTAGATCGGGGTTTGGAAATGCTGACCCTCCTGATGTTTTTTGCCTGTAATATTCCCGGGGTCTCTTATA